AGATCAGAACACATTAACAAAGAGCATGACATACTTGTTTACACGTTTAAGCCGTAATTAGTTAGTCTTCATAATACTGAGACACTGTTTGGGTTAAAAACTTGTTAATATTGTGTCTTAGCAAGGTCCTTTTACTGAACCTTTTACAAGACCTCACTAACACGTATCTAATTACTAACTATTATGTTTTAAATGTTTCATACAGTATCTCAGACCTGGGCAAACTCCAGGCTGAGCTGATTCATGGTTCTTTGTGCCCCATGGACCCTTCCCAGTAATAATTTATCAACAACAGTCATCTGTAAATCGGTCTATAATACTTAGCCTTCTTAACTCATTGACTGCAGCCGTTTTTGATGATTTCACTGATTCTCAAGACACACAGAATATTATTTCCTCAGACTATGTGAAAGATGAAACCAGATTCTGAAAGACTGGATTGTCTACTTTCATCAGCAAAAATAAGTTTGTTTCTAGCTTTTTTTGTTGTCCTGTAATCTGAAGTCAAATAGAGGCTCCCAGACAAATACGTCAATGGCAGTCAATGAGTTAACCTTTGGTGCAGTTTTCTTCAATCCAAGTAAAACCAAAAATGGATGTTATCATAATACTTTGCTATAATGCTTTCTTCAGTATTTACAGTCTATGGTTATTTCTCTGTAAAGTGTCTTTGAGCTGTATCAATGTTGACCTCTCTTGAGTTGCACAGGTCAAAGAGTCTAGTCTGTAAAGGTAAAGGTAAAGGTGCACTTTCTTAATCCCCGTACGACAATTCATCCTCTGTAATTGACCCATCCTGCTGCCACTAAGGCTTACGTCAGGAGCAGTGGTTGCCGTAGTAACAGCTCGGCTTGGTCAGGACCAGAGCTGAAGGATTTAACCTGTTTTATTGTTAGTGCTGATGATGTCCAGTCTCACACCTCTGATCACAGACTCCAGTTTATCTATTTTCACACTCTCTTCAAATCAGGAAGTGCCGAGAGCTGACCACCATAGTGCCCTGAGAAAGACTGATTGGAAGTTTACTGGATGCATTTATCTCATAAGTAAACGGTCCCGAAACAACTGAAGCACACGCAGCATCACCTCTGTGGGAACATCTGGAACAGGAAACCCCTTTCAGTCCATCTGCTAAAGGCACGTCTCTAAATAAACCAGGAAGTGCCAACCCTCAATTCATAGTATTAGGGCTGCAGAAGATTTGAAGCAGTAATATGTTCAGAAAACTATTATTGAGACAAACATTTTCAGTCTTTTCCCCACATTGATATTTTATTTTTTATTTTTAAATTAGCTAATAAGGAATGAAGTATTTTTTGTATCTCATTCTGACTGTGTTCAAACCAGATTCTCCAACGAGACGAAGCCATTTAGTCTTATTTCAAGAACTGTCCATTGGCAAATTTAGTTTTAAGTCACAGTCAGAATGTGCTCAAATTAAGACACATTTGGCTAAATTTGAGATTTTTTTTAAACGTATTTCCATCATTTTTTGCTTTTATCCTTTTCATTAAATCAAAAGATTATTTGTATAGTGCTGTAGGAGGGAAAAAACAATAAAGAAATTGTTGAACTAAAACAATCTCCTTTTTTATTTGATTTAAATGAGTTCTTGGCTTTAAAACAACAGCGGTGGTTACTTCCTCGTTGCACATAGGCTTCTCTGTGGTCCGAGGTCAGACGGATCATATGATTGTGTCTTGTGCGTTGGTCACACTGAGCTATAGTCGCAGAGGTATGAGAGCCATGTGGGAAACGGCAACACACATTCAAGGTCAAAGAACTCAACATTTTAGTCATTTTCAAACAGAGAACATTCAGTTGTACCGGTAAAACTCAAATCTGACCCTCTGAACCAGGCAGGTCCAAAGTGACGCCTGCTGTGTATGTTATGCGGTCCACTGCCTTGCTAACACAATGTAGCCGTAGAGGTACTTTAATAGTGTCATTCAGCCAACTTCAGATCCATCAATTCAGTCATGCTATACCTCACTGTGAAGCTCAGAACCTTTGGAATCTTGTCATGAAGAACTCATGTGGAATTATGTTCGTAGTAAAAAGTATGAACCAAGTGTAAATATGTGTTTTATTCTGGTTCTTCAAAGTAGCTCCTTTTGCTCTGATACTGCTTCACTCTTGGCATTCTCTGGATGAGCTTCAAGAGGACCTGAAATGGTCTCCAACAGTCTTGAAGGAGTTCCCATGATGCTTAGCACTTGTTGGCCCCTTCACTCTGTGGTCCAGCCCCAAAACCATCTGGACTGGGTTCAGGTCCAAAACCATCTGGACTGGGTTCAGGTCCGGCCCTTACACAGCCTGGTGCGGGTCTACAGCAATAGAGGGTGTCCACACTTTTGCTCTGTACTGTATATGGCACTAATATATCTGTGGTTTGATTTGGACACATCATATCCAATTGTAAAGCTCAGAATGGGCCAAATCCAGTACGAACAATTTCACATGTTGTTGTCCGCAGGTTTGTGTAAGTGGCCCTCTGTAAAGTTTGGATGGGCCGGCCCTGAGAAACTATTATTATACAGATTAGGAAGAATTAAATCAATTCAATCAGCTACTTCTCCCCAATTGCAATGTCATTTTGATTGATTACGATTGTTCGTGCGGAACGCTTCTAAATTATAACTTTGTTCTCCAATTTCATGCTCATTTTTCACGACTTCATCCATGAAAACCTGGAGCTGTCGATGACTTGCTCTTTGTCACTTTGGTGCATGCTTTCTCCTTTTATCCCAGTTTATAATGCCAAGAAACCATAAATACAGAGCGGGCATGGAAACTAATGGAGATGCAGGCTATTTGTGTGGCTGCAAAACCTTTCATTAGGCTCAATGCCAACCATATGGGCCGTCAGGTACAGGCCTCTGCCAGAGCGGGCCACAAACACACTCACACAGCTCAGGATTCAGAAGCACCAGGCACTTTAAAATGGCCACGCAAATGAAGTCTGCCAGTGATTCACTCTTGTGATTATACTGAGATATTGAGGAGTTGCGTATTTAAAACAGACTTTATTGTTTATTTAAGATTTAGATGAAGAAATGCTTTATTCGTCCCACAGCAGGGAAATGTCAGTGTTGCATCAAAAGTCACAGAACAGTAGGAATGAGGAACAATCCACTCAAGATAAGTTAATAATAAATCTCTATCTTTAGCTAAAGAGAGACGCAAACTAGAAAAATACTGTATACAAATGATGTACTTTCACAGGCATAGTAGATTATTATTTGTTTTAAACCTTTATTTATCCAGGATCTTTTGTCCAAGGGAGTCCTGGACAAAAGTTACACACCGACACAATTACAGATTATAACGACAGTCAGTGTCAGTGAGGACATTTGTGACGTCATCTAAAAGTATTCTGTGAAATAAGTTCAGATCATTTCCAGTCTTTTTGCAACACGTTCCATGTGGAAGGAGCAGCATTGACAAAATCATGAATGAGGTTTAATATGAAACAAATGCGTTGAAAAAAAGAGCTAAAATGAGCTTGTAACCATTTGAAAGACAATACTTACACCTGACTTTGTAAAATATCCAGAATTGTATTTAAGATCTAAATTGTAGCCATATCTCTGCCCTACAACCTCTGACACAACGTCCACCGCCAAAAATGTCTTTACACATTAGTAAGAGAAATAATTCGTTATCAAGAGAAGAATCATTTGAATGTTTTAGACTGAACGTCGCTGCTTCCAAAGTAGTGAATGTAAAGATGGCGCTGGTCCTGGACTCTGGAGGATTTTACAGTTAATTAAAAAGAGCAGAAGAGTGAAGGTCGGGAGAAGGTGACTGTATTTTCAGGACGTCTTTGTTGAAGCTAGAGAGAGCGATGAAAGGAGGGTACCACCGAGTGTTAGAAAAGGGCCAGGATCTGTGCCAAGGCCTTTCATTTGTGATAAATGATCCCACAGTGAAGCGTGTGTTCAGCTTCTGCAGTGGAGCAGCACCACAGCCTCTAACCTCCCTCAGACACATGATCAGTCTCCTCTCACCCACTGTTTCCTCTGCACAACTTATCCTCCTTTTGTTTCTTTGTGTCTCCTTCTCCAGACCAGAAGTGGCAGCAGAATGCAGTGTGCTTTCAGGGAAATGAAATGCCCATTGTTGGACGTGACATCTACGCACACGCCATATGATCGGAGACAAATGGGGCCTTCTTTCTTTTCAGTAAACAAGTGTTGTCTCTTGTCCGTGAGCCAGCGACGCTAAACAATGCCACGACTGAGGAGACAATGGACTTGCATTTGTCATGACACGCGGCAGCTACACGGCTACGACAAAGGACGCAACGAATCATTATGTACAAGAAAAGGTGTCATCTTCAGTGCAATAATTGGTCTTCTTCTTTTCAGGACAGTTTAAGAGATGTAAAAGACAATCACAATTCAGATGAAAATGACTCATTTGAGATTTTCCTCCTTCTATTCTCAATATATAATGTATGTTTTACAAAATACATAGATACTTTATTGATCCCTGTTGGAGAAATGCAGGTGTCCAGTAGCAGCAAAAACACATCCAAACAAACAAACAAACAAATACAATTGATCATTCTAAAAAGATTGCAATAGTAATAATAACAATTATTTTTTCTATGCTTGTTTTAGATTGTAATTTTACTTGGACTTTACATGTTTTTACGGTGAAGTGCTTTGTGGCCTGTATACTTACTTACTTTTATATGCTAATAGTGACAGGGTTCAGGTGCCATATCACAACTTAAATGTCAACCCTGGAAAGATGCTCATTAAGTAAATTTATTTAACTTGTCAGATTCAAGGGCAGTCTACATGATAATGAACACATCAGTCCTGACGACAACCAAGAGTAAACAGACCTGGTTAGAACGATTGTGTTCTGCATTGAGTTCAGCGTGGAAACACTAAATCACAGCCTGACCTCATTTCTCTCCTCCAGGGACAGTGCCTCACATGTGTTCTTTGTCTGCAAACTTGGAGGTAGTTGTTTGTGATGTCTCCTGGATGCCTCGCAGGGAGGGGCTTGTGAAAGGAGACTCCGGACACACTGGAGGGACTCTCTATTGGCCTGAGAACACCCTGGGATATTGGCCTGAGAGCACCCTGGGATATTGGCCTGAGAACACTCCGGGATATTGGCCTGAGAGCACCCTGGGATATTGGCCTGAGAACACCTTGGGATATTGGCCTGAGAACACCCTGGGATATTGGCCTGAGAGCACCCTGGGATATTGGCCTGAGAACACCCTGGGATATTGGCCTGAGAACACCCTGGGATATTGGCCTGAGAACACCCTGGGATATTGGCCTGAGAACACTCTGGGATATTGGCCTGAGAATACCCTGGGATATTGGCCTAAGAACACCCTGGGATATTGGCCTGAGAACACTCTGGGATATTGGCCTGAGAACACCCTGGGATATTGGCCTGAGAACACGAACACCCTGGGATATTGGCCTAAGAACACCCTGGGATATTGGCCTGAGAACACGAACACCCTGGGATATTGGCCTGAGAACACCCTGGGATATTGGCCTGAGAACACCCTGGGATATTGGCTTGAGAACACCCTGGGATATTGGCCTGAGAACACTCCGGGATATTGGCCTGAGAGCACCCTGGGATATTGGCCTGAGAACACCTTGGGATATTGGCCTGAGAACACCCTGGGATATTGGCCTGAGAGCACCCTGGGATATTGGCTTGAGAACACCCTGGGATATTGGCCTGAGAACACCCTGGGATATTGGCCTGAGAACACCCTGGGATATTGGCCTGAGAACACTCTGGGATATTGGCCTGAGAATACCCTGGGATATTGGCCTAAGAACACCCTGGGATATTGGCCTGAGAACACTCTGGGATATTGGCCTGAGAACACCCTGGGATATTGGCCTGAGAACACGAACACCCTGGGATATTGGCCTAAGAACACCCTGGGATATTGGCCTGAGAACACCCTGGGATATTGGCCTGAGAACACCCTGGGATATTGGCCTGAGAACACCCTGGGATATTGGCCTGAGAACACCCTGGGATATTGGCCTGAAAACACTCTGGGATATTGGCCTGAGAGCACCCTGGGATATTGGCCTGAGAACACTCTGGGATATTGGCCTGAGAACACCCTGGGATATTGGCCTGAGAACACCCTGGGATATTGGCCTGAGAACACCCTGGGATATTGGCCTGAGAACACCCTGGGATATTGGCCTGAAAACACTCTGGGATATTGGCCTGAGAGCACCCTGGGATATTGGCCTGAGAACACTCTGGGATATTGGCCTGAGAACACCCTGGGATATTGGCCTAAGAACACCCTGGGATATTGGCCTGAGAACACCCTGGGATATTGGCCTAACAACACCCTGGGATATTGGCCTGAGAACACCCTGGGATATTGGCCTGAAAACACTCTGGGATATTGGCCTGAGAGCACCCTGGGATATTGGCCTGAGAACACTCTGGGATATTGGCCTGAGAACACTCTGGGATATTGGCCTGAGAACACTGGATATTGAAACACCCTGGGATATTGGCCTGAGAACACCCCTGGGATATTGGCACCTGTGAGATTGCTGACACCCTGGATGGCAGACCTTGGATATATGGCCTGAGAAACTCCTGGGGATATTGGCCTGAGAAACACTCTGGGATATTGGCCTGAAGAACACCCACCTGGGATATTGGAACACCTGGGATATTGGCCTGAGAACACCCTGGGATATTGGCCTGAGAACACCCTGGGATATTGGCCTGAGAACACCCTGGGATATTGGCCTGAGAACACTCTGGGATATTGGCCTAAGAACACCCTGGGATATTGGCCTGAGAACACCCTGGGATATTGGCCTGAGAACACCCTGGGATATTGGCCTGAGAATACCCTGGGATATTGGCCTAAGAACACCCTGGGATATTGGCCTGAGAATACCCTGGGATATTGGCCTGAGAACACCCTGGGATATTCCTGAATGAGTTAGAGGTCATGAGTGTGGGTCTCTCTGTTGTCCCAGATAAAACAAAACAAAAATGGATAGATGCTTGTTATTACTTTCGGTCTCATATTTGATAAAACCTGAATTAATCCTCCTCTGTTCCTAGATAGAGCTGAGTGGTTAGCACTCTCGCTTCTCAGCAAGAAGGTCCTGGGTTCGAATCCCGGCCTTTCTGAGTGGAGTTTACAAGTTCTTCTGTTCCTGCGTAGGTTTCCTCCGGTGCTCCGGTTTCCCCTTCCATTAAAAACATGTACAATAGGTCTGAATGTAGTGAGTGAATGCATGGTGTTTGGTCGGGGCTTTAATGCTCCAGCTTGTTTCGTCATCACCGTGTGTGAATGGAAAAATATCCGATCTCTGAGCATTGTAAAGCGCTTTGACCTCGAGCTGTAAAAATGCGCTATATAAATAAACCTTACTGACTTACTTACAAAGTGGAAGAGTAAAATATGATCTGTTGCTTTTGTGATCCCAATTTTTTGCAAGCTTTTAGATATTGTCTGCGGTGGGAAATAACCTGTCAGCCGTCCATGTAGTTATGACTGAGCAGAGCTGCCAATGCCATTCTGAAGGACAAGTGGACGTGTTGATGCTTGTGTAGCCCCAGTGGAGCATGTCGGTTTAATGAGTGGGCCAGTCTTATCAGTGTCTCCGCAGTCCTCTCCTGACTTTAAAAGCACTCATAAATGCTCGGTGCTGACTTGCATTCCTGCACAGATGCTGAATACGCTTTGCCCGATTCTTTCCAATCTAACGGAGTGAAGTCAGAGCGACAGATGCATTTTGCCAAAACATTCCCACAATATAATTCTTGAACTTGTTTTGCAGTAATAAAAACATGTAAACATACCAGATTATTGTCAAAAAGCGTTTCAGAAGAGGGATTAAAAAGGTCAATTTACCTTGGGAGTTTCTTCTTATGTCCAAACTGCCACATCTCGTCTTGTTCATGGATTAAAAAGTGCTAAATGAATCAATCTTCTTCTCTAAACCGTTGAGAGACTTCCTGTGCCCCCTATCAGTGAGCAGCAGGCACATTATAAGATCTGAAGGAGGAGCAGGCCACCCTTAAATGTTCCCACACTCTACAAAGACCTCGCTGAAGATAAGACAGCTGCCATCCACCGCGCTTCATGCCGCTTATCTTCATGTGGCCACAAGTCTGGAGCAGAACTGTGTCGGCCGTTAGTCTGCGGCCTGTTCCAGTTTAGATCATTCATTGGAGGATGCTTCCCACTTGGCCAAAATATGTATTTGTTGACTATTATTATATGTCTGTACAAGTGCCACTCACCTGTTCTGATGCCAAGTGCAATTATAGCTACAGTTTACCGTCCTAATGCTTATTATTATTATTATTAGTCATTATCTGATATCTGTTTGATGCAATCTGAGTCTTATTTTATTTCGGCTGTAATGTGAAACGACGACACAGAAATCTCCGCACTGTGGGACGAATCAAATAATGTCTTAATTACTGTAAGATTTTAGAGCACAAAAAAATCTAGTTTGTAAAACAACAATTTACCACCACAAGTTTTTAAAGTAGCAATAGTTAATACTTCTTTAACTGATGACAGTAGTTCAGAGATATTTTAATTTCAAAATTAGTTTTCCAGCCTTTTACAGCCCAATCATGATGTCCCGCCCTCCATCGTTTCACCAATAAGAAAGTTTGTGATCCGGGCGCCAGAACTCACCGCGTGGAGCTAATGTCACTGGTAAAGTACCATGTGGCGCAGAACTAAAAAAGGTCTCGTAATGATTCTCAAATCATTAACGACAAAACAAGGAATAAAACCAGGATTTCTATCTTTGTGAAAAATCAATCAATCAATCAACGTTTATTTGTAGAGCGCCTTTCCTACACAAGGCAACGCAAAGCGCTTCACATCCCCTATCACATCATGCATAAATCAAACACATTAAGAGCACAAGATATATTAAAAACATTAAAAATAAAATCACAAAAATTAAAAACCTTTAAACATTAAAATCACAGATGGGACTAAAATCATAAATAGTCACAGTGCATTAAAAAGAAAAAGATAAAAACAAAGATGAAAAGATAAAATCATTCAGTTGTATATGCGCAGCTAAACAGAATTGTTTTGAGCCTAGATTTAAAAGATGCCAGAGTAGACGCCTGTCTCACATTCTCAGGAAGACGGTTCCAGACTCTAGCCGCATGAATCTGAAATGCAGTTTGCCCATGTCTAGTACCGACTCTGGGCACTAACAGGAGTCCAGTCCCTGTGCTCCTCAGAGTCCGGGTCGGTTCATATGGCACAAACATGTCATGGATGTACCTTGGCGCGAGACCATGGAGAGACTTGTACACAAGTAAAGCTGCTTTGAAGTCTATTCTCTGAGGAACAGGAAGCCAGTGCAGAGACCTGAGAACTGGACTAATGTGGTCGCACTTCCTAGTTCTGGTCAGGACTCGAGCTGCATGTTGAATATACTGCAGCTGTTTTACAGCCTGTTTGGACAGACCTGTGAGCAGGCCATTGCAATAGTCTAACCGACTGGAGACAAAAGCGTGTATAAGAGTCTCCAAGTCTGCCTTAGACACTATGTTTTTAATTTTAGCAATGTTTTTTAGGTGGTAATAAGCTGCTGATGTTACAGATTTTATGTGGCTTTTGAAATTTAAGTCTGAGTCCATTATCACTCCTAGATTTCTGACCTGATTTGAGGGTTGTAGAGAGAGAGCCTGGAGGTGACAAATAACGCTCTCTCTTTGTTTCTGGGGTCCGAAAACAATTATTTCAGTTTTGTCGGTGTTTAGTTGGAGAAAGTTATTTTGCATCCAATCACCGATTTGCTGGACACAGTGAAGGAGCGAGTCCACTGGTTCATGCTCTCCTGCTGTCAGGGACACATAGACCTGAGTATCGTCAGCGTAATTGTGATAAGAGACATTATTACTGTGAATCAACTGACCTAGAGGCAACATGTAAATATTAAACAGAAGAGGACCCAGGATTGACCCCTGTGGCACTCCGCAGGTCAGGGCCAAGTGGTCTGAGGTACAGTTTTCGATCTCCACAAAAAACTTTCTGTCTTGTAAATAGGACCTAAACCAGCTTAGGGCGGTGCCAGCAACACCAACCCAGTCCTCAAGTCTCTGAATGAGGATGCCATGATCAATAGTGTCAAAAGCAGCACTTAAATCTAACAGAAAAAGGACTGAGACTTTTCCTGCGTCAGTGTTTAGTTTGATGTCATTTGTTACCTTTATTAGCGCGGTCTCAGTGCTGTGGTGGGGGTCTAAACCCTGACTGGAACATATCATAAGCGTTATTGATTATTAAAAATTCTGTAAGTTGTTTATAGGCAACTTTTTCTAGAATTTTTCCCATGAAAGGCAGATTTGAAATGGGCCGATAATTTTTGAGTGCCAGGGCTTCCAGACTCCTCTTTTTTAGGAGGGGCCTGATGACCGCCGTTTTCAAGGCCATTGGGAATGTTCCAGATTCAAGAGACATATTAACTATTTGTGTAAGTGAAGGTAAAAGACTGCTCAGAACTGACTTGAGAAATCTAGGAGGTAATACATCCAGGCTGCATGTGGAGGAACTCAGACTAGTGATTATCTCCTGGACAGTTTCAATTTGTACTGGTGTAAAGTGCGTCAGCCCAAAAAGCCTCACTGGCGGTTGGATTATTATTTCTATCGTGGAGGTGATGGCGTTTTTGATACCTTGGACTTTGTCATTAAAGAACTGAGCAAACTCATTACATTTAGATTTGGAAGTAAGTTCTGATGGCATCTTAACAGGGGGATTCGTCAATCTATTTACTGTTGAAAACAGAACACGTAGATTGTTGCTACAGCCTTCAATAGTTTCAGAAAAGTACATTTCCCTCGTTCTACGTAGTTCCCTGTTAAAATTGCACAACGCATCTTTGAAGATCTCATGGTCAACTTTGAGATTTGACTTTCGCCACTTCCGCTCGGCCTTCCGGCACTCTCTCTTCTGTGCCCTGACCGAGTCTGCTTTAGTCTATGGCGCTTTTTGCTTGTTTGTAACTATTTTAACCTTTACAGGAGCAATTGTATCCAGAACATTCAAAACAGTGGTGGTGACAGAATCAAGTAATTCATCTACAGTAACACACAACGTGTTCTCAAAGTTTACCCTCCCCATGAACAGTTCGCCTGTATTATCATTTATGTGTCTTCTTCTAACAACCGAAGATTCAGCTGGTGGTTTACAATCAAGACACATGTCAAAAAATACACAGAAATGATCAGACAGAGCAACATTGACCACATTTACATTTGAAATATTAACCCCCTTGGTAATTAACAGATCGAGAGTGTGTCCTCTGCTGTGGGTGGGGCCACTCACATGCTGAGTGAGACCAAAGGTTTCCAGCACAGAGCTCAGCTCTATTGCATATCTATCATTAGCATTATCTACATGTATATTGAAATCACCTACAATGACCAAACCATCAAAATCTGTGCACACAACTGAAAGCAACTCAGTGAAATGATCAGTGAAACTATGACA